ACAATCAAACCTAAAATCAAGACACTGTCAAAAAGGAACGATTACGTTACGGTTCAAAAAGCCACGCATTTCTAGAAAACTCCTGGACCGGTTTTGTAGTTTCTCTTTTTCATGTGTTAGCATGCTAATGGTAGCCTTTTAGCTAACTGACTGGCGAGCAAGCGAGTGCAGATGACACAGCAAAAGAATTAGAAAAAAAAAAAAAAAAAAAAAAAAAACTTTGTTAGCTAGCTAGGTTGTCCCTAAAAAAAAAAAAACAAACGTTAAAACCCTACTGTGAGTTTAACTGCTTTAGCTGTCTATGTAACCATTGGCTACATATTAATCAAATGTGTTTTTTCACCGTTTAGCTAACAGGGCGATAGAGCCAAGTAAATTGTCGATCATTTAAAATGAATAGCCAGCCCCGTTAGCCTGCTAGCTTTGATACACTGTAGAGTGGCTATAGACAGCTCGCCATGGGGTAAGCCATCTGAATAACTAGCGTTTTCTTTCGTAAAAGCGTTAGCCTATTACCTAGGTATGTGCCATTTGCCGAGTACATTTGTATGTGTTCCGTCCAAGTTGACGCCTAATTTCGAGATAGGCTATTAGCCGGTGGATAGGCCAACTTGTCGGTGTGACGGTGGATGGCTTTGGCCTTGACACTGTTGCTAAGCTAACGTTAGCATTCAAACACGACAGCAATGACTGCGCTTTGTCAAGTCGCTGTCACACAACCGGCTAGCTCAGTACCGTTAACTGGCCAACGATAACACTCTAACAACTGTCAACAATTCACCGGGATACTATCCAGCTGTCAGTTGATTTGCATTTATTAGGTTATTCAACCATCGGACAAAAGTGCGGAGGCTGAAGTAACTGACCCCATTAGCTCTCCTGCTAGCAAACTCGTTAATGTATTAGCAATCGAGCTAACTTTAATAAACTAACGTATTCTGAGCTGACGTTAGCCATTTAAAGGGCATTTGCCGCTAGCCATTGTTCCGAAAAACGCATTTTAATAGGACTCAAATATATTTCTACTTACTCCCCTCCCGAGGCCATGGTCGTCCACCTGGATTACTATCAATAAATAAAGAAATTCTAGCTAAATGTTCAAGAGGCTTAACCGGTTCTTGTTTCTCAACGTTCTCTGTGATTTCACACGAAAGACCAGCAGTTTCCGTGCTTTTCTTTACAGTTATACCATGAGCTGGACGCGTCCTGCATTCTGATTGGCTGGAGACTGTCTGACAAATTCGACAACCAATGAAGGAGTCTGGAACCCGTCGTCACCGAGAGTATTGTGGAACTTAAGCCAATTACAAAAGAGTGGGATAGTCCTATTTTCATCAACTTTTCTCTTATTGGTCTGTCATCATCTTCTGTCATCCAATTAACGTTTACCGCGTTGATATTGAAGAATCGCGAAAACATTAAATCGGTCTTTTACTTCTGATAATAACAGATCATGTGTGCAAGGAACTGTGCAAATTACCCAGAGTTTTATTGATAGGAGAAATTCATAAAAAGGAGCAACAACATAGTTTATGGTGTATCTTCTTGAAAAATATTTTTATTTTATATTGAAAACCACTTTCAGTTATGAAAATAACAGTCTTGATTACTCTTGCCTGCCCAACATACAGTGATGCATGGTACAATTTCCCCCCAACAAATCAGTTTCAGCTTTACAGTATGTATGGTTATCTTGCATTATTTCATTCATAAACCACCACCTGTGTCCATTCTCAGCCTCAAACCCTCTAAGTCCTTACAATATGCTTTATTTTACTGTCCGAGTAGATACATGTTTGTAGTGCGTATGGGTTTCAGTTCAAAGACCAGAGAAAGTGGATCCTGTTCAGTAAGGGATAGGCCATTCTTCTTTTGTTCCTCTTCAGGTTGACTAGGTAGGACCAAGTTCCTGTATTCTGCGCTTCAGCTTCGTGGAGTCCAGCGAAGGGCCAGACTGGGGTTCCTGTAGGTACAAAGGAAGACCCCTGCAATGCAAGAGGCAAGCAGACAGTCAGAAGAGTAACATCACAGCACAGTAAACGTGCCTTGCTTAAAGAAACATGAGACTACTGAGAGCTTAAATTTTATTATCTTAGAAAAATGTCCTGTTCATACCCATTACATTTTATATGTGTTAATTACAGACATTGAGATTGTGTCTAGATCCAACTGAGACAGACTGCAGTTCATATGTGGCACCAGAATGCAATTCAAATGCATTTCGAGTGACCAACATTTTTGCTGTAATTTAAACACAGAGAAAATAGTTGACAGCAGCTTTAAAAACCTTGTGTGAAATCTTTAGAATAGGTAAACCAAAAGTTTTTGTGTGATTTGTCATGCTATATGCACACTAATCTGAGTACACCATATTTTAGTGTGGTTGGGGATGCATCTGTCTCCGACCCTGCACGGTCACGACTTCCTGATCACCTCTGCGTGTGGCCTGTATAATCAAAACCCACTCCCCCAGTGGGTTTTAGGCACATTCACATACGTATTTAGAGCTGCACAAATGTAACCAGGTCAGCTGAGATGCATTATACACTTTCTGTATTAACATACTACCAACATAAGCCACAAACTTAGTGAAGACAGTGAATATAAGAATGACAGTGTCTTACTCCACTGAGGACTGTCTGGTGAAGCTCCAGGTCTTTTCCCAACAAGCTGCTGCCTCCTGTCTCCTGCCAAGCCTCCACAGCACTTCACCACACCACAGTCCTGCACCCACACACTCTGAGACAGCACATACAACATGATGACGTGTTCTAAGAAAGGACCACACAAACCTAGTACAGATTCACTACAGTCCTATGATGCATTCATGTCAATGCCAAGAGGGTTCTTAGCTCATAGATGAAGAGAAAGGTAGGAGCTGTGTCTGAAAACCTTGAGGACAAAATGTGAACATCATAGTAACAGTTTATGTTTTACATTTTTGTAACCAGCTGCTCATCATTAAAGAAAAAATGTGATTTGAAGAAAATTAGCTTCACTTTCAATCACACAACCACAACCACTGACACACAACCACTGTTCAAATCCACAGACATTTATTTCTAATTTGATGTCAGTGTTAATACCCATGTATAGGCCTAAAGTGTCTGCCTATGACTGACCTTAAGTTGCCTCTCTGTAACCAAGTTACTGCAACGACTGCAATAATCCTGTGTCAAAAATTAGTTTGAGCTTGTTCTGCTGCATACACGATTAATATAAATCTGTGTTATAAATATACCTGGGAATGCCTGTAGACTGAGCAGGAGGTCTCGCAGTGCCTCTCTCAGTCGGTCTGTCTGGGTGAAGCTGATACCCCTACCAGCTAATGAAAGACCCTTCAGCCTTTGGAGGGTACACAGATCTGTCTCCTGCTTGACAACCATGTCTGCACTGGGGATCTGTGGTTGGAAACCTGAAATTGAACATCAACAGGATATGATGCATAAAATAACAGTAGCTTGAGGTTGTGAGAAGAACAGAGATTTCTCTCCAAAGCCTCAAATATGTCAGGAAAGTACTCACCTTTCTTTTTATAGCAGACCTTCACGAGCAGGTTGATACACCTATAATGCAGAATACAATCTTACAGTATGTGTTGGTGTGCTAACATGATCATTTTATGACAGAAAAAAAGACAGCTCCATCTCACAGACCTAGTGTAGTGAGTCACGGCTTTTTTCCAGTCCATCAGGTGAGTGTGACAGTGACCCTGCAGGAGGAAAGCAGCCCCTGTCCAGAGTAACATCGCCACCTTATCTTCACCCTCTGCTCTCACTTCCTTGGTCTCAGCCTGACTCCTGTCCTCTGGATCCTCCAACACCAGCTTCTCTGGCAGTAGCTCTAATGTTGTGCTGATGACTTCATTGCACAGCGCCATGCAATCTGCAGGCCGCCGGGCCATGAGCAAGGCAGCACCAGTCTCCAGGTAAAGCTGGGGCAACCTGGGGAGGGGAGTGGCCTCACCATGGACCTGAGACAGAGACATACAGGAAACAGACGTTACCCAACATCTTAGTAGTATTCTTCCCTGGGGAAAACACAGTCCAATTTCTCACAGTATACAAAAAAATACATCCACAGCTCAGTGTTAAATTATCTTGCATGTCTGTCAGTGTTTTAACTCTCACTCCATGTTGATCTTCTGAGTGAAGAGCAGCCAGCAGGTCCAGATAATGTTCCACACCCTCTGACACCCTGCAGAAATAGCAACCACACCCATTTAACAACTACAGTCTGCGCTATGAGTCCACTATTCTCATCTCCAGCTACATTTTCTGGATTTGAGTATGGTCAGGTGCCACCAAGAAGAGACGGAGACTCAGAGCTCCATACTGGTAAACTCACCTTCCATGGAGCACACACTTCAGAGCCAGATTGTGAAGGACAGAGGGGGCAGAGGGAACTGAGAGCAGGTCGCGCAGTGATTGGCTGCAGAGCAGTAAGGACGGGGAGAGGAGATGGGCACCGGCCACAGTAGGAACTGTAGCAGAGAGCAACATCAAAGTCTGTGGAACAAGAGAGGTTTCATGTTTCAATATGCACGCCTACACTTAAGTCAATATGTGTCAGTGTCCAAAATTAACTCTTTCACTCACCTATTGAGCTATTCAACCACAAAATATACATACATGCACTGTTTTTAACAATAAAAATAATTTATCTATAGCTACAAGACAAATGTTTAGGATAATTTTAGAAATAAATGGCACTCTTTTTTCCCTCATTCACTCTATCTATGTATATCGACTAAATATGTGTGTCACTCACTGAGTGCAGCAAGCGAAGAGCTTGTATCTCAGCCTGTGTGTTGCCCAGCTGTCTGTAGATGAGCATGCTCTGGTACAGAGCACACACACAGCAGGAGTCAGTTTCCAGTGCCTTCCTGTAACACTGCAGTGCCATTTGGGGGCGGCTCTGGTGACAAATGCAAACACATACACTTTATGCCTGCAAATGTTCAAACCTGTTAGGCCCATGCATGATGCATGCTAATTTGTTTGTATGAGTAGTCTGAATGTGTACCATGTGGGCGAGGCAGGAGCCTGAGAGGAGGTGTACATATGCTACTAGAGCTCTGGGTGCCGGCAGGGAGGAAGCTGACTGCAGATCAGACAGCGCTTCTGAACACTGACCTTCACTCAACCTTTCAACACCTTAATGAAACACACAGAGCACAGCAAAACACACGATTAATTACTGAGTACCAGAAACAAAAGGAGTCCATTAATGTATCACTGGCATATATCTTTGGGTTCAGTTTAAATCATTTTTCTTTTAAGAAATCCTCCCAGTCTATGGGTTCAGGAGCTTGTGAACTTCTCCCCAGTGCTGGCTCCGGGCGCCTGAACCTACAATTTACTCAACTCTCACAGTCAGCATTATAACACAAAGAACAACACAGTGAACTCAGATAATATTTTTCTTCTACTACTGCTAAGTTTGTCTGCCCCTGCAATTTTATTTGTGCAAGAAAAAGCAAATTGATTATACCAAGATAAACATGTATTTAGAAAGCACAGGGCAGAACTCAAAACATTAACTCTAGGCTTAAGCTTCATACAATATTTTAGTGCGAACACAACAAACTGGTCCTTCAATCTGCATTAACAAAAAAACATGAATGTTGCTGACCTTGGGCAATGGAAGTGCAGATCTGCAATAATTCAACAAGCTTTCTTGGGTCCGTCACCAGTAGAGGAACGTCAGAGGACTTCCCCCATGTCTCATTCCTCCTGTCATCCCCAACTCCACCACACAGTGTCTCCAACAGAGAGCACAGCTCCTCCTGCATCACAGGGAAATAATATACTATAGTTTTACAGAACAGTTTTATATTTTAACCACAGTAACAAGAAAGATAAGAAGGAAGGAGACAACAAGGTATGAACACCAACATGTTGATGCTGAGCAAATAAACTTTTATTTACACATACATACTGTATAGCACGTATTCATATCAACACCACATAACCTTCTCATTGATTACATCACACACTATGGTGGTGTTCAATTTGAAGGTAAACTGAGACGTATCACTTTAGGAGGACTTAGTAAAGTGGTTTGGTCCACACCAGAAGCTAAATGACAACCATTTTGTTAGCTTAAACAAACTGGACTGAATGCGTAGATGCAATACAGTTCATTTAAACCACACCAAACACCGAACACAGCTTATAAACAGGATCTTACCTTAAATTCTTGTATAGTTTTCAGCTGACAGGTGGCCAACCATATTGCCCACTGCAGACAGAGAAGGTACAGTACACAGGAATTCAGAGCTGTGTTTGCCACTGATTTGAGAACCGTTCTCCAAAACACAGGAGTTTCTGAAGTGACAGAGTCGTTTCCTGTGATCTGTAGAGCTGCAGGGAACAAGAGCAGCTTCAGGAATCCTTTGAACTAACATGAAACTGGGTGTATGGCATTAGTTCCTATGTCATATACAGCTATGATTTTTGTCATTATTTCACAGAATAGGCCTCTACCTCTCTGTAGGGCTTGTGTGAGGAGCAGCTCGGCTTCTGTGAACTGAGACTGAGCAGTAGCGCACACACAGGTATTGTATACCACTGACAGCTCCAAATGAGTGTGATCTGCAAGAGGAGGAACACCTGCAGGCAAGGGACACGGGGAAGGGAAAGGAGTGAGATAGAAGATGCATAATGGTATGAGTGGAGCTCTCCACCTTGACAAATTAGGTCTTTGTATTATGACGAAGATGTAGCACCTTGGATTTTCCTTAAAAGTCTGTAAAACTCAGAGGAACTCCATCTCAGGTGGGACTGGTTCTGATCTCGGCTGAAGGTGACTCCTCCTCCTTCCTGCTGCTGAAAGTGAAGTGAAAGCAAACTGATAACATGAACAGGATGTAACACAGTGTTTGCTACATTTAGGCAGTGATCAGTGGTGGGAAGTAACCAAGTACATTTACTCAAGTACTGCACTTTACTCAAGCACTTAAGTCCAATTCAGATGTACCTGAACTTTACATTTTCATTTTATGCTACTTCACATTGCTAATACTACACTATTATTTCAAGGTGGATGGTACTTTTTACTTCACAACATTGATTAGATATAGTTTTAAGTTACTTATCAAAAATATTTTACATACAAAACATAATTATTTATCTCTTATTATCTAATTAATATCTGCTGCATATATAATTTACACAACCCAGTTTATATAATAGTGAAAAGGCTCCACCTTGACCAGCTACAATAAAAATATAGAACAATAAAATGCTTCTTAATATGTTATAATATAATATAATATAATATAATAATATAATGTAATTATGAAGAGAAGCCATTCTGCACAATGACTACTTTTACTTTCAGAGGTCAAACGTCTGTGCTTTTAGTTAAGTAAAACTTTGATGACTTTTTCTGCTAATAGAGTGTTTTATAATGTTGTATTGCTAATGTAAGTAACGTCAAAAGATATGACTTCATCCACGTCTGGTCATAAAACAACATTATTTACCGTCCAGCTAAAACAAAACAAAACAAATACAACAGTGGAAAACAGTCTGTTTATGTGAGACGCTCTGCAGTATGTTGATAGATACCAAAGGTATAGCGTTAAAGTTAGCTAAGATTACATTAATGCCTTCTTAAACTATTGTAAATTACCCTTAAGTATTAACAATTTCATACATTACATTATTTTGCAGTGTTACAGAATTTAAGCATCAATCTCTGAACAGACGAGACGTTAAACAGCTGAACGTACCTTCCATTTGTTTACCAACTCGTTGTTTTCCTGGACCCATTTATTTACTAAAGAGGTTGGTCGATACATTTTATCGCCGTTTTATGAAAAATACGATGCTGTTTTGTTTGAACTTTCCCTCGTCTGAGACAGCAGAGGTGACACAGGAAGGAAACGCTCGTAAGTTTACTGCAGTGAGGATGTGCTGCCCCCTGTGGACACATCTGGAAACAACAGCGACACACTGCTAAGTCTCCACCGGGTGGCGCCGTGACAAAGCCAGGCTCAGTTTTGTTCTGGAAACTTCAATCATTAAATTTCTTACAGCCACCAAACTGAAAGCTAATGCTGTTTGTCTTTTGATATTAACTTAACAACACTCAAAATAAAAACTCAGACACGATCACAACTTCACAACCTTAATGTATTTAGTTTCACTCTGAGTCGTGGCTGTCCACTCCTTTAAAAAAAATCACAGTGGCCAAACTGGCAAGCTACCACAATCACATGCCTACATATGAATACACATGCACATGCACATGTGCACGCACATATACAGGTCTAAAGCAAGTAAACGCAAGCCCAGGCCTTAATTATATTACAGCTGAGTCATCCTTGAGACTGCCAGGACAGCCATTTTTCTAGTTGTCCCTCACAAGGTGACTCCCTCTTTTCTCACCCAGTTCCATTCCTTTCCTTCCCCCATGTCTCTCTGTCATCAACCCGTCCATGTATCATCTTGTTCCCTGTTGTCTGCAGCCTCCATTGTCTGCCTGTATCAAAGCCTCCCTGCTCCTCTTTTCTTTCATTGTCTCAAGTCACCAAAAGCTCTAAATATACCACCATGGGGAAGGAACAAGGGAAGGTCCTGATATCCACTGCTCCACAGCGTACACTCACACAATTGCAGCAGATTAGGCATGCACACACACATAGTGCACACAAGAGCTATCTTCCATTCCAGTTCTCTACAGCCCCCTGAGACAGGTTTCACTGTTTTCTGACATTTTCCTCTGCATCGATCCTGCTATTTTCCATCTCTATCTCTGTCTCACTCAGCCTCTGCCTCTCCATCCATCCTTTCAAGGACAAGGTCGCTACATGGCAAGAGCCTCCCACCTCTTTTCCCTCTCAATGTCATTTACATGGCAAGACTTCAAACCTCCATTAAAAGGGCCATATTAAACATTTTGCTGCACTGAATCCACCCATGGCAGCACTGAAGGGCAGGCTGCATTTTAAGAAGCTAACGACAGCCTAAATTTGGCTGTTCCATAGACTGTTGCCATTTTGCAGATGACCTTCCATCATCTGGAGGATTTAACAAACACTCGACTGGGTTTCTTAACACTATCTTTGACCAATACTCGCTCACTGTCATCACTGCAGTAACTGCTAATAAACCCCAGATGTGGCTTGTATATGACATTTCATCCGCAGATACATTCTCTACTGAAAGCTTGTGCCTTCTCTGTTAGATTTCAGCTCTTAACGGCTGCTTCAAATAACAAGGTATCGCCTATACATACAGAACATGAGATCCTCAGAATATCACAGCTGAATTCTGCCGACTCTGCTCCATTATTTTCATCTATAAAACATGAAGCCAGTGGAGGGAGGGGATGTGACACATGTTATTTCTATCCTGAATGCCCCTAACTCTCCCCTCCCTCAATCAAAAGATGTGAATGTGGTGCAAAACACACTTTGCGTTTCACAAACAGCACCAACACATTCCAACATTTTAAAACATTTGTGACTAATGGGTTTCACCTTTGAAAGTAAGTGAGATTAGTTGTAAGATGTTAAGGAAATTAAACAGAAATGACACCGTTGCTGGAGGACAGGTTAAGGGCTTGTGTGCCACACAGTCCCCTGGGTGTCACTGGCTTGGCAACACACATGTTCACAGGAATGAAAAATGGCTGACACAGAGAAATGATTTGTCTATTCTTCAACATAAACTTCAGGGGAGAGGCAGATACACAGCTCGCCCTGCTTCTTTATGGCATGCGGAGCAAACTCGTTCACCCTGAGTTTGAGTAATCAATAGGTGCTGTACGTGCTCTTCAGAGCTGGTCCTCCTCTCAGAGTAGACATCCCCTCAGATCAGCAGACACAGCTTGGTGTGTTTCTGTGTGTATGCTGTATCATCGTAGCTCAGTGAACAGACACCCTGATGTGCATGCACCATGGAGTTGCTGTTTTATGCTGCTGTTGTTTTTTTGGCTTTTATGTCAGTGCTGTCACATGTCATATGCCTGGTCTGCCACCACATCTGCACATCTGGAGATTAACTATTCTAAAAAATAAAATAAAAAAAGAGGCAGAAACTGAGAGATGAAAAGTCATATTTGAAGTAAAAGGGCGGAAACAAACCTTTTTTGTGTTTGTGGTAACAGAGGGAGAGAGAGTGAGAGAGAGCGAGAGAGAGAGACTGTCAATGGCCCAGCAGTTGAGTTGAGTCCCAGGAGGGTGGCGTGGATCTGCAAACTCACACTGCAGCAGTGAAGCTACAGAGAGCATCAGCAGAACACACTGCAAACCCACACAATCAGTTCACATACTTATTAATATGTGCATTATTAATATGTCTTCAAATTTTTAAAAACCTTGAAAAATAAAATGTATAATTGATGAGAGCTGTTTATAAAGAGCCATCGTAATTAATTAACTGTGTTGGCTTAACATAGCTCAAATCATTTAACACAAAGACTAGCCAATATTCCCCCCAGATGTTTTAGGTACATAAGATAAAAATTGAAAAGTGTTGCCTGACAAACATTTTACATGCTATAAAACCAATACTACTCTTTAGGGTTGGTTGTTGCCTCAATAAACCTCATTAACATCTTCAGTAAAAATTCAATTCATCAACAAGGTGATACATTGACTTTATTCCTGCGCATGCTGAAGAAAAGATATCTCTTTAAATGGATTGTGTCCTGGTGCTGACTAGTGAGTTTTCCCTCCCTCCTATATAAACCCTGCGCTGCCCCTCCTGCTGCAGTCAGTTCTCCTGTGGACCCGCCAACATGAGTTTCACGGTAGAGCACCACCTCTATGGCCCGACTTCGTACCGCAAGGCTCGGCCTGCCTCCGTGTCCTCCAGCGGCTTTCACTCCCAGCGCCGCCGCCTCACTTACAGCCAGCCGTCCTCAGCTGACAGCCTGGACACCTTCAACGGCGACATGACACGGAGGAGCGAGAAAGAGATCCTGCAGGCTCTGAACGACCGGTTCGCCGGCTACATCGACAAGGTGCGAAACCTCGAGATGCACAACCGCAACCTGGAGGCAGAAGCGGCAGCTCTGCGACAGAGCCAAGCCGGACGCGCATCAGTTGGAGAGCACTACGAGCGGGAGCTGGGTGACCTGAGGGGTCTCCTGCAGCAGCTGACCGGGGAGAAGGCCCGCGCAGCTCTGGAGCACGAGCACCTGGAGGAGGACATCCAGCACATGCGGGGAAGGCTCGAGGATGAAGCGCGGAACCGGGAAGAGTTGGAGGCTGCCGCTCGCGCCATGAAGAAGTACGTAGAGGAATGCCGGCTGGCGCGACTGGAGCTGGACAAGAAGCTCCGTGCCATGGAGGAAGAGGCCGTTTTTCTGAAGAAGAACCACGAGGAAGAAGTGGCGGAGCTCCTCGCTCAGATTCAGGGCGCAGAGGTGAGCTTCGACATGCGAGACACGCTCAAGGCGGACGTCACCAGCGCACTGCGAGAGATCCGCGCACAGCTGGATAGTCACGCATCCAAGAGCGCGAACCACGCAGAGGAATGGTTCAAAGGTGAGTTTTGTGAAAAGGTAAAGTATTAAACAAATCTTTAAAGATTTAACATCACAGACAAACGTTGTCAGTGCGCAGCGTAGTGCACATTCTCTGTCCATGGTGCTGAATTCTAAAGTCACATCCCTCGGATTTACATTGTTAGGTGAGGAAGTTTACTTAAGGTAAATGAGCAGTGACTGGCAATATCTTGCTTGAGGACATATCACGGTTGCAAGCATAACTTTTTTATTGTGTACTTTTATTATTTTTGCAGATTAACACACCCTGATCCTGGTTGTATAAGTAATGTCATTTTGTAGTTTTTGTAGAAGTTTAATTATAGACGTATGAAGACAATCAAGACAGACCATCTAAGTAGGAAATGCGAAACGATCAGGGTTGAAATAATGTGACCCCTAGTTTAAATGCTGCGTTTTTCTGTGGCTGCATCGCTGCCGCAGAATGATCGTTTTTACTTAAGCCAAGCACTGCAGGAGTGAGATGGCACACAGAGAGGAAGGAGACTGTGATTCATTTGCACTCTCACTTGGGCAAAACAGTGGGTGTGTTCTTGTTTGCACCCCATGTGCATTGCTGTGTGTGTCTCTGCTTGTTGTGTTGATGGATCTTAACTCTGAACCTCTACAAATTGAATAGCCTCAAGGTCACTGTGCTTCATCACTGGGCTCATGCTTTTTAACAGTCATCTTCTCTGCTGTCGTGACTGGATTTTACCAAGGACGTAGAAGTAACCTGCATTTTTTATAGAGTGGTTGAAGAAAGGCACTTACAGTTACTGAGATGATCTGCTTGAGCAGATGCAAGATCATATGCACCACTGTGCTGCTGATCCGTGTGATACTGCAAAAATTGAGAACTTCAAAGGCCAAAAATGATTTAAACAGCAGTTCAGGGGCATGTGCTCTATACATTGACCCTTGTGGTACATTTACATGCTGACAGCCAGTAATGACCTTCCCTGTGTGGTGTCCAGCTGACTGCAGCAGTGAGGCTCATTCACGCTTGGACGAGGGAGCGAGCTGAGTCAGACTACTGACTGACAGATGGACTCTGTCAAGGTCACTCAGCCTCCCAGCAGTGACTGCTCTCTTAGGCTGTCAGTACAGAAGACAGGTCAAATGTCTTAGGACAACAACAAAAAAAGGCCAGTGTATGCCTATGGCCTGAATAAGAACACTGAATTTCTCTTTGCTTCAGTATATGCAGGCCACTTCAAACTGTTTTGGGACTTGTGCCAGCTGATGGTGGTGTGACACAGCAAAATGTCTTACATTACCTAGGTGATTTCTTAATGTTATACATTTATCATCTTTTTGCCTGCAATTCCTGTAGTCCGCATGGAGCGTCTGTCTGACGCCGCTAGGTCTAACCAGGATGCCATTCGTGGAACCCAGGAAGAGATTTCAGAGTACCGCCGTCAGCTCCAGACCCGCACCATTGAGCTGGAGACTCTCCGAGGAACCAAGGAGTCACTGGAGAGGCAGCGTATGGAGAGCGAAGACAGACACCACGATGACCTCAACTCACTACAGGCACAAACATCTCACTTATCTCTCATGAAAAAATACCAGAAGCGCACATTAATTGCATACATCTTTTCGTACCATTAGCGTGATATATGACCTGTAAGGCTGTGTGTTTTTACTTTGCAGGAGACCATCAATCAGCTGGATAATGAACTGAAAACCACCAAATGGGAAATGGCCAGCCAGCTGAAAGACTACCAGGACCTGCTGAATGTGAAGATGGCTCTAGATATTGAGATAGCAGCTTACAGGTTGGTCAGGGTTGAAAACCACATATAATTAAAATAGATTTCTTTGGCTTCTGGATGTCAAAAGTTATTGATAGTTTCACTGACTGTGTATTTTTGTCTTTAAAACAGGAAGTTACTGGAGGGAGAGGAGAATCGCTTTGTGTCAGGAGGAGGTCCTTACTCCTACCTGGAAAGCAGATTCTCTACCCACCTGAAAGTGAAAGGAGAGGAGATCTCAGATACAGTCATTGTGGAGGAGCAGACAGATGAGACCCAGGTGACAGAAGTGACAGAGGAGGCAGATGAGGAGGAAAAGAAAGAGGAAGAGGAGGAAGCAGGAGAGGAAGAAGAGGAAGGTGAGAAGGAAGAGGAAGGTGAGGAAACCAAAGAAGAGGAAGGAGAAGGTGAGGTGGAAGAAGATAAGGAGGATGAAAAAGAGGGAGAGGAAGAGAAAGAGGAGGAAAAGGGAGAGGAGGAAAAGGAGGAGGAAGCTGAGGAGAAGGGAGAGGAAGAAGAGGCAGGTGAGGAAGAAGAGAAGTCCAAATCTCCAGAAAAGGCTGCATCCCCTCCTTCAAAATCTCCTCTGCCTAAATCTCCTACTGTCAAATCACCAGAATCTAAATCTCCACAGAAATCACCTGAACCTAAATCACCAGCAGCCAAATCACCTCCTAAGTCACCTGCAGTGAAATCCCCCGCAGGAGATGAGTCAAAGTCACCTGCAGTGAAATCCCCTGCAGGAGATGAGTCAAAGTCACCTGCACCAAAGTCACCTGTGACAAAATCCCCTCCCAGCAAATCCCCTGAATCTAAATCTCCTCCCAAGACCCCTGAACCAAAGTCTCCAGAGAAAGAGAAGGCCGAGCCCGTTGCAGCCAAAGAAACCCCTAAAGAGGAGAAGAAAGAGGAGAAGCCTCAGCCCGTCAAGGAGGAAAAGAAGGAGAAGGAACAGCCTGTGAAGGAGGAGAAGAAGGAGGAGCCCAAGGAGAAAGAACCTGAGAGCAAAGCAGAGAAGGCAGATAAACCTGATACAAAGAAAGACAGCAAAGCAGATGAAGCACCAAAGAAGGATGACGCTTCAAAACCTGCTGCTCCCAGCAAGCCTGCAGAGGACAAACCTGCCCCCAAGTCTGAGGCTAAAGAGAGCGCTCCCCCAGCTAAGGAGGAGAAGCCCTCTGCTCCTAAATCAGAGAAGGCCGAGCCTGAGCCAAAGCCTGCCCCTAAAGCAGAGCCTGAGAAAACAGAGAGCAAGAAGGAGGAGAAGAAGCCAGAGGAGAAGCCCGCACCTAAAGCTGAGCCTGAAAAAGCAGAGAGCAAGACCGAGGTGAAGAAGCCAGAGGAGAAAAAGGAGGCCAGTAAAGATGAGGTGAAGGAAGGAGGGAAAGCTGAGAAAATAGAGAAATCTTCTGGCACCGAGTCAAAGGAGAGCAAGGAGGAGAAGGCCAAGAAGTAAGCCTGAAAAGCTCTGTTCAAGGGCTAAAGAGGCAGAGATGCCAAAGAACTGTGAGGGAGAGAAGGGAGAGCAGGGCAGAGAGGCTGGAACTACCCAGCAGCCCAGATATGCACCGTAGTGTCCAAAACAAAGCAGGTAATGGTATGTAAGCAATAGTGATTTCTGTAGCAAATAACCCCCTGCTCCCTAAGTATGGCCATTACACACCCCTGACGCTTCTGATGTACGACTGTAGTGAATGCAGAATGCTCTAAACTCTTTATCTGAATGTGACAACTGCCCTTAATAAATAACAAGTGCATTTAAACTGAATCCCGCTGACGGGGACCGCAGGGGCCTGCTGTACCTACACAAGCCTTCAAGGGTAGTGATGTCAAAACAATGTCAAGCTAAAGATTGTGACAGATATTGAATATAAAAATGTATATTTAAGGAGATACAAATGTCTATATTATATTTACAGATACATCAGTATGAAAGACTTGAACTTTGCTTGTTGTGCACCTTAATGCAGCTTCTCCTGACAGGTGAACTGCAGCGTCTCACTTCTGGTCTGCAATGCTAGGACAATGATGACTGTGCTATGTATAAACTGCTGAGAATATGCAATATGAAACAGTAAATAAAGAATGAAAAATCAAACACAAGAGGCTTTTTGTGGTGGTTTCTTAATCTGTTTACACTTCAAAAAAAAGAAAAAAAAAATCTAAATCTATAGCATACTGACCTTAAGTGAAGATTTATAAAAGAGAGGTGTCAATAGATACACAATGCGTGAGGCCGAAAGGTAAATGCTGTGAGTAACTGCACTGCATTGCGGCTAAGGAGGGGGGGAGCTGTACCCACCCCTCACGTCCACAGAGCACGTTCATGTATAAATCAGGAGCAGTGCTGCTTGACTGCATAGAAAAAACTCATTTTTCCCTTATTTCCCAGCTCGGCCTCACCGCAAATAGGAAAGCTCGCACACTACAGCTGTCCCATTTCTAATCCTGATGCAGTCGTGGTCAAAATTATTGGCAGCCCTGAACTTCAAGCACATAATTCAGAATATCTTCAGAAATAAATGCAAATGAACCCGTCTTGGTAAATCAGTATATTTTAATAAAATGTCTAAGGTTACTGAAAAAAAAGGGGGAAAAAGTCTTGTGTAATAGTGAAATGATGCAAACACAAAATGTACCCAGGACACAATTATTGGCAGCCTTTTGATGAATTTGAATTAGCTCCTGAAATAAAATAAAGAAACAAGACTCGCCTGTGCTTAATTAAAGTGTTAACATGACTGGGATTAACTAATGAATGATGGTTTTACTGCATAAAAAAATTGGCTGATTGTTTGCGCTTTCTTTTTTCACAATGGTGAAGATAAGAGAGCTGTCTGAGAGCATCGGAAAAAACATAATTCCAAGGCAAACGATCCATGAAATCCCTGTTTCAACAGTTTGTAACATTATCATGAAGTGTCACAGTCATTAAAACTGTTAGGATGCTTCCACCATGTGGCACTATGAAGAAACTTAATGAGAGAAGTCTGAACACTGATGCGGATTGTGGAAAAAAAAAAAACGCCACACAAGACATCTAAAGATCTTCAGGTTGACCTGGAGCAATCTGGAGTGATGGCTTCAGCCCATACTACACGCCAAACACTAAACCGCTCCATTGGCGAAGGCCAAGGAGGACACCACCATTAAACTGAAAGGCACAAAAGGGAAAGACTAATGTTTGCAAAAAATTTCATACATAAGCCACAGTCTTTCTGGGAGACTGTTCTATGGACAGATGAAACCAAATCAGAGCTCTGTGGGAAATCAGTTCAGTTATAGGTGACGAAATGAAGCCCATGAGGAAAAGAACATCCTGCCTACAGTGAATCATGATAGAGGCTCTATCATGCTGTGGAACTGCTGTGTTGTCTCTGGTATTGCAAACACTGAATGTATCCAAGGAAAGATGAAAGATGAAGATTGCCAAGGCATTTTAGAGCAAATTGTGTTACTCAGTGTCAGAAAACTAGCTCTGAGGTGAAGGTCTTGGACCTTTCAACAGGACAACGACCCAAAACTCATATTCAGCAGCATAAAAAAGAATGATTGAAAAGTTTTAAACTGGCCAGCAATAAGTCCTGACCTAAATCCCATTGAAAGCCTTTGGAGAGAGCTGACATCTGCTGTTGCAAAAAGGACTCCTGAAAACTTAAGCGCATAACAATGGAAGAATGGCAGAAACTACCAGAGGACAAGTGTAAGAGAGCTTCTGGATGGCTACTAGAAATGTTTAGTGGCTCTCATTGTTGCCATAGGTTCTGCAACCAAATACCAGTGATGGGTGCCAAAAAGTGTGTGCAGGGTACATTTTGTGTTTGTATTATTTCACTATTAGGCAATGAGATTATTTTTTCTTTTATTCAGTAACCCTGGACATTCAGGTTATAATAAATTGGTTCATCTGCATTTATCCCTGAAGATATTCTGTGTACCAATATTTTTTGACCATGACCATGCATCTCCCACATTTATCTCGATATTGTTAATTCATAAATATTGAATTCATCAGTTGTGTAATACATTCAGTCACGCAAAGGCTTAATATAAATACATAACAGGCCTTCGCTTTCGAAACTATACAAAATTAATGTAGAAATACAAATCCTGCCCGTCATATTAGGTCATGACTCACGGTAAAATTTGAGCTATTCATAGATTTCTACAATCTTTCACAGAAAAGGTGTAGCTAAATTTTTAATAGGATTTACTAATGACTGCTGCTGCTGGTGACAAAACCCATTCATCATACCAACCTATGTCTATTAAAAAGCAGCTAACCATTACAAAGCTGCTGCAGCCTCTTTTTTGATACAATACTGGCACTGCACACACTTTGGCTGACATTGGGAGGACTTCTTAAACTATGGATTAGTTTGCATCCTTCTGGATTTGTGCTCTAATGTGCAAGAAAATAGGAGAGTGATACTTTTGCCATAATCACCATGGAACTGGCATCAATATCCTAAATGACAACCTGTTTTACTACCTTTACTGCCACCAGGATGATAAATGATAGGTCAAAGGCTCAAGTATCATTTTCCAGACATGAGTCTCTGTGGGAATGACTCAGCTCGCGCCAGCACTGAACCACGATGGCATAATAATCAGCTAGTGCAGACGCCTATAAATAGAGCAGCAGAGAGAAGTGAAGGTAGAGAGGAAGGAAGAGAGATAAAAGAGGAAAATTTGGAGTGCACAACAAAGCCTAGATACAACAGAGCCATAAAAAGACCAGATTCACACCCATTCAAGAAAATAACAGTGTTCTTTTATTTCCAGACCGGTATAAAGACTTTTAAAAAGGGATACTTGTGTGTCAAAGAGTCACAAAGGTAAGCTTGGAGGAGTTAGAGCTGTTAAGTACAGTAGGAAAAATCATATATATACATGTTTAGCGATGACTGAAGAAGCCCTGAGGATGGTTGTACTTGAATGGCTTCAGACGATTTGGACCCCTGAAATTAAAAGAGGTAGAGAGAGATGTCAGAGGTAAATCTATTCAGTGTGTCCCTGACCAAACGTGTGTAAAAAAAAATGTACCAATTCCTTTCTGTAACTGTGTACCTGACAGTGCGCAAGCACATCTTTTCACGGGGGAACTCTCGTGGTCCCTCCACACTGTCATCTTGTCCTTCAGTCTCCAAATACACATCCAGGCAGACACACAAGCGTGAAATCTGATTGGTCAGGAGCTGGTGTCCTGGACGTGGTCCCTGTAGTTCATTTTTGAACACATTGACCTCACTCTCCATGGCCTAAAGATGAGTCAGCGTGAGAAAAATCATGTGTGTTGTCAGTAACAGGACAAGACATGAGCTGAATGAAAATGAGCTCATATAGCAACAGAGCACAAGCGTCTGGGACGTAAATAACTTTTATTGATAAGTTCATACTCGAAGGTTGTCATCGGTGCGTCCACTGCGCTCTCCTTTCCAGCTGAGGGAGAGGGAGAAAAGAGGAGAGATCTCTGGGTAACGGGGGCTCATCACCACTGCGGCCTGGAGACGAGCTGAGAGGAAGGGACAGATACAAACAGCTCGTTTATAAATAAGACTAGGTCAAAACCTAACACTATGGCTGGATCGCGTATGTTCAATGTGCGAAAATGAGGATGTAGTTGAAAACTGTTGCAGAACCGCTGTAAACAGACATCATTGGGTTCTTTTCTGTCTAGTGTCAGCCGGTTTCAGCCCTTTATCAGTTTGTTTCTCTCCTAATCTCTGTTCTTATTCATAGTATTTTAATCCCTCTCGATTTCGAAAAAGCTGTGTTCATTTACATGTTTTTCTGTTACTGTTGTCAGACAACAGCACAGGTATGAAATGGTGACAGAAACACAGCCCATTAAGACTACATGTTAACTTCCCAGACATTTTCAAGCAGGTAAAATTCTGATTTTATACCCACAACATTGTCTGACAAAATCACCAAACACATAAGTTAAAGACAAAGACAGTGCTGACATGCAGATTGTCTTATTTATGGTTGCTGGCATTTCTGTTGTTTACATGCTATTCAGAGCTGCTAATTTCTTTAGCTTAGCAGTTGCCGATGGCTTCTCTCTCTCCCTCCCACTCTCCTGCTCTCTCTGTCGCTCGGTGTGTCTTATGTTTAGTTATTCATCTACCTCCTTAGGCGATAAGAGTACAAGTAATAAATGCAGGTGCACATTCGTGATTATAGGGCTGGCACCGCTGTTGTGGTCCAGTCAAAAACTAATTCAAATCAAGTAATCAATGATAGCTAATTCTATCAGCAGTGATTAGTATCTACCTGTTCCTCTTTCAACCACTGCCATGAAGTACAGATCAGTCTCCTTTGCCAGCCCAGCCTCAGTCACATGACGTGTATATTGCAGATCCTTGAGAGGAAGAGAAATATCACAGTGAGATGTGCTGCACCAGGTGCACTTTTGGACAAACACTTTCAGTACATGTGATTCCAAATATCTGTAAATGTGTGTCTGTGTGAGTACCATGTACTCCTGGTCACTGATGGTTGTCCAGCGAGCTAAGCGGGAGATGATCTTGGCAGGAAAGAAGTGCTGACACTCACTGGAGACCGGGATGATACTGTGCTCTGAGGACAGGAGCACAAACAATCTCAGTTGAAATTTACAGTCTGTTCATTAGGAGTATCTAATGTGAAAAGTTGTAAACAAATAACATACCTAAAGAGGCAAACTGCTTGTGCAAAGCCAAGCGGGACTGGACTCGTCCCCTCAGCAGCTTCATGGTGCTCTCCATGTGGCTGGCACTCAAAGAACTGCCCACACGCACACCCTGGGAAAAACATGAACACATGCCAACATGATACCACTATAACACACAGAACCTTTGCTCTGCTGGGACAAGGCTCAATTTCAGCACACACCTCTGAAGCATCGCTGGGAAAATGTAGTCCTCCCAGACTCTGAACCCACATGTAGGGATGGCCCAGCTCCTCCACATAATCAGCAAAGGAAACAATCCTAAAAGGAAATGATGGGGTTAGTTATGCTGGGATTTTGTTAAATCCAGAGGTGTTGTTCCCTAAACATCTTCGTCATCTGACATCCTCACCCGACTTTATCAA